GGCAGGGGACGGGGCAGGGCAGGGCCTGACAACAATGCAAACTTTGATAAGCAGTTCTCAATAATCCCTTCTCAACAATTATTTGTAATTATTACAGTTTAACATTATAAAATTAACAAAAATAATATAAAACTCATATTCTGGCAAAATAGCCACATGGCAACCAAAAACCATATATTCCCTTCTTGTTCTCCCGCCCGTGCATTCTTTCCAAAAATCAGGACTTGGACCAATTGTTTAAAAGCGGGACGTCTGGTCACCCTAAGTTTAGGGCAATTGATTTAGGAGATTAGCTTTTGAGTTGGAATGTTCTTATATGGGTGATGGGTTATGTCAAAAAATGAACTGATACATAAATAATTATGCTGAGTGAGAGAATTCAGACCCTTCCCCCCAAAAGAATATATGCTGCTTGATATAACTTATATAATATTCTAGAGCATGCAAATTAACCTGTGATGACAAAAAGTGCCTGGAAATGGTGGGGGAATAGAGGGGCCAGAATCAGGAAGGAAAAATTATAAAGATATATAAGGGGATTTGGGGGGTGATGGATATCTTACCTTGATTATGGGGGTGGTTTCACCAGCATATGCATATATTGGAAATTATCGAACTGTACATTTTTTTTTCCTGCAGTTTTTGACTGGGGCCTGGGTTTGAACCCATATACTGAGCCAACTCCAGTATATGGGACCAGCGCCCCACTCCTTGAGCCACAGGCACCACCCATACTGTATATCTTAATTATGTACAGGTTGTTGCATGCCAATTATACTTCGGTAAAGCTATTATGAAAAACAAAATACTTCCAGCCAATAGTAGGCACTCAACAAACGTTTGTGACCCATTCATTGACCTTCCTGGACTGTGTTTTCTTGGCAGTTAGGAACTGATTATTCTTCTGTACTTATTTAGGTAATGCCTAGCAAAATGTCTTGCAGAAATCAGTGCTCATAAGTGCTATTTTGTTAATATTATCACCAAATATTTATTACATACTAGATTAATATCATTTAAATGGGACTAAAGATAATATATTTTTCCTGACAAAATGTTTAACTTCATTAGCAATCAAAGAAATGCAAATTATACTAATGAAATGCAATTTTTAACCTTTTGATTTGCAAATAATTTTCAATGATAGCATTTTATAATACCTAGTTGACAAGAGATTGGGGAAATAGGTGCTTTTTCATTCACTGTTAATAAAAAGAGTAAACTGGGAGAAACTTTACAATTTTAATAAATACTAAATAAATAAATAAATAAATACTAAAAGTTTCTGGGTGGCACCTGTGCTCAGTGGGTAGGGCGCTGGCCCCATATGCTGAGGGTGGCCAGTTCAAACCCAGCCTCAGCCAAACTGCAACAAAAAAATAGCCGGTGTTGTGGTGTGTGCCTGTAGTCCCACGTACTAGGGAGGCTGAGGCAAGAGAATCACCTAAGCCTAGGAGTTGGAGGTTGCTGTGAGCTGTATGACACCTGAGACTCTGTCTCTACAAAAAATATATATATATACTAAAAGTTTCAAAAATACAGAAACCCTTTGATACAGCTGTAAGGATGGTCACTCAAAAATTATTACTATTTTTTGCGTCAGCACCTGTTGCTCAGCGGCTAGCGTGTCATCCACATCCACTGGAACTGACGGGTTCAAACCCAACCCAGGCCTGCCAACGAGAATTACAACAAAAAAAATAGCTGAGCATTGTGGCAGGCACCTGTAGTCCCAGCTACTTGAGAGGCTGAGGCAAGACAATCACTTAAGCCCAAGAGTTTGAGCTTAAGTTACTGTGAGCTGTGATGCTTTAGCACTCTACTGAGGGTGATGGAGTGAGACTCTGTCTCATAAAAAAAAAAAATTACTATTTTTTTTATATAGAGTGTCACTCTGTCACCCTGAGTAGAGTGTCATGGCATCAGCCTAGCTCACAGCAACCTCAAACTGTTGGGCATGATCCATCCTCCAGCCTGAGCCTCCCTATAGCTGGGCCTACAGGTGCCTACCACGATGCCCAGCTACTGTTTTTATTTTTGGAGGGGCGGGTAAAGATGGGGTCTCATTCTTGCTCAGAGCTCCAACTCCTGAGCTTAGGCAATCCACCCACCTCAGCCTCCCAAAGAGCTAAGATTACAGGTATGAGCCACCCCGCCCTGCCACCTCATAGTTTTTCAAAAAAAAAAAAGAAAGAAAGAAAAGAAAAAAACCTAAAATCTCTCTCTGCCTGGTTTCTTTCTCTTGCCAGCAGCCTCTACTCCCACCCCAGTAGATTTCTGTTTCACAAACCGTTGAGGAACCCAACAGACCAAAAGAAAATGTAAATTCTCTTTGCATTTCCCCAACTCCTTTGTCTGGTACAATTTATTCCTTTAAGCCTCAAATGATTACTAACTGGCCTGGATGGATGAACAATGAGGCCTGAGGATTGGAAATACCTAGAAAAATGTCTGTCTTCAACTTTGCCTAAGGAAAAATAGACACAGCGTTCACATTCATAACTGGCGGCTGTCTTCTGCATTTTTCCTGTTAAATTCAGCTACTCACCAGATGTCAGTGGAGGCATTCTTCCTTTATTTCTTTGAGATCCACACCATTCTCTCCTTTTCTCTCTTCCTCCCCTCCCATCTTCCTCTCTCTCATTCCCTGCTCTCTTCTCTCTCTTTCTCACCTTCCCCCCCCACTCTCTTCCCTTTCTCTAAGATAAAATAAACTTATACTTTTATATCCTAATCTCACCTAGAGAAATGCTTTTCTCATCCCCTGCTGAGCACCAGCTGAGCAGCTGAGCATTTCCAAACCTATCAGCAGCTACTCCACTTCTAGAAATGTATGCTAAGAACATAAGATTGCACACAAAGTTTTAGTTACAAGATTGTTCATCATTACACAGTTTACAATACCAAAATTTAGAATTGCGCTATTAAGCTAGCAGCAAGCTAGTGGTTAATAAATATTGCTATATTCATTCTGTGAACTAAAATGAAAT